CAGGGCGCGAGGGGTCGAGGAGGATCAGCAGGCAAGAGAAAGACGAGTAGAGGAGGCCACGAAACCTCGAAGATGTCCGAGCCCTTGTCCAGGGCGGACTCGACCTTCGCGCGGGCGCGGGCGGAGCCCCTTAATCCTCTCCTCCTTATTCTTATGCCCCGTCGCCATTGCGTACACATCCTCGTGATATCACCTGTCCTTCTCTTCCGTCCGTCTCCTCTTCTTCATCCTTCCCTCGTCCTCCTCCTCCTCCTCCTCCTCCTCCTCCTCCTCCTCCTCCTCCTCCCCCTCGTCCATCCCTCCTCCTCCTCCTCCTCCTCCGCCTCCTCCTCCTCCTCCTCCTCCTCCTCCTCCTCCTATTCGTTCTCAAATCCCTCCTCAGCATCACCAACACATGCGATCACGCCCATCACCAGCCAGCATCATCGTGATCATCCTCATCAGCATCATCAACACCAGACTAGCCATCACGTCCTGACCGTACTCAGGACTGTGAGGACTGTGGTTCACGGACTGCATCTCTGATTTGCAGAAGTCAACTCAAACGACATTCAGCCAGTTTCACCACCAACAATATCTCCTCCTCCTCCTCCTCCTGCTCCTCCTCCTCTTCCTTTTCCTCCTCCTCCACTTTTTCCTCCTCCTCCTCCTCCTCCCTCGTCCTCCTCCTCCAACTCCTCCTCCTCCACCTCCCCCTCGTCCTCCTCCTCCTCCTCCTTCTCCTCGTATTCCCTCTTACGCCATCCCTATTACTGATACTAACACATCTGGGCGTTTCGCTGTGACTTCCACACCGCTGTTATGACCCTGACGTTTGAAATTTCCAACGGCTTCACGGATGGAACGCAGGCCATGTTCAAAATGTGATTCTCGCCTAAGCGCCGCGCACATTCGTCTCAAGACCGTTCTCAACATGTAGTTTTCGCCGTAGCGCCGCCCACATTCGTCCCAAAAGTGTGCAACAACTCTACGGACGGAGAGCGGGTCGTGTTCAAAAGGTTGCTCTCGCCGCCGCGCCGCGCACACGCTCTTGAAGACTTTGCAGCAGCTTCAAAGACGCAGGGCGGCTACCTGTCAGAACGTGGCTCTCGCCTCAGCGCCCCACGCCTTCGCCGTCAGAGCTTGCAACAGCTTGAAGGACGGAAGGCGGCTCTTTGCCAACACGTGGTTCACGTTCTGGCGCCGCGCACACTCAGCTCGAACGTGACGACGGCAAAGATGAAGTCCCAAGAACGGTGCTCCGGCACGACTTAGGATCGTCAGGACGCAAAGGCCACGTTGATTCGCGTCGCTGAACTCCCAGGAACGGCGTCGTTGTACGATTTCACATTGTCAGGACGCAACAACCACGCCCATTCGCAACGCTGAAATCCCAGGACGTGTGCTTTTGCACGGTTGAAGGTTCTCAGTAAGTTACCTTCCAATGTGGCACTTCCTGCAATGACAATGACCCGGTGGCGTACACAACCGTTTGTAAAAATGTGGCATATACATGTGTATACATATACAAGGCAACTCACTGCCAACAAACATGTTGAAGCACCCGCAGTGCGCATGAACTCCCCGAAGCACTCAAGAAAGCACGCAGTAATAAGCATGATAGAGACATATGCAGAATCACACAGAGAGGTGTGAAGGAGGGACATATATGTTCAGTAACAGCAGCAGCGTCCAGCGCTACATACGTGGGAAAGAACAGCGCCATACGCTCGCTCTATAGCAGACCAAACCGTCGCACTGAGCGAGGGAAAGCGCGCAGGTCGGCATGACGGGCCACAAGCGGCTGAGGATGGAAGGCCACGCGGACAAAAAAAGTGCTATGCGCTGCGTGACGCAGCGGCTCCCTGCGAGCTCCGATGCAACATCGCCGAACACTGCGTGACGGGACAGCGCCGCGAGGTTCCAACTGGATCCCCGTACAACTCCACTGCGCGCGACCTCCCAGGAGCCCACGACAACGGCAAGAATTGCGCCCTTCGCATCCCCCCAGGGCGCCGCGAAATGCTAACTGGGTCCGCGTACCACTGCACTCCGCGCGACCTCCCAGGAGCCCACGAAAGTAGCGACGGCTGCGAACTTCGCAGTCACGCAGGGCGCCGCGAGGTCCCAACTGGGTCCGCGTACCACTCCACCCCGCTGGGCCTCCCAGCAGTCAACGACAGCGGCGACAACTGCGATCTTCGCAGCCCCCCAGTGAGCCGCCAAGTCCCAACTGGGTCCGCGTACCACTCCGCTGGACCTCCCAGACGCCCATGAAAGTGGCTCCAGGTGCGCACTTCGCAGCCACGCAGGGCGCCGCGAAGTGCTAACTGGGTCCGCGTACCACTCCACTTCGCGCGACCTCCCAGGAGCCCACGAAAGTGGCGACAGCTGCGAATTTCGCAGCCACGCAGGGCGCCGCGATGTCCCGAGTGGGTCCGCGTGCACATCCACTCCGCGCGACCTCCAAGGAGCACTTGAAACTGACGGCAATTGCGCACTTCGCAGCCACGCAGGGCGCCGTAAGATCCCAACTGGGTCCGCGTACCACTCCACTCCACTGGACCCCCACGAGCCCGCGAAAGTGGCGACAATTGCGCACCTCGCAGCCACGCAGGGCGCTGCGAGGTCCCAACTGGGTTCGCGTACAACTCCACTCCGCTGGACCTCCCAGGAACCCACGAAAGTGGCAACGGTTACGCACTTCGCAGCCACGCAATGCGTTCCGAAGTCCCAACTGGGTCCGCGTACCAATCCACTCCGCTAGACCTCCTAGGAGCCTACGAAAGGGGTGAAGTTGCGCACTTCGCAGCGCTCCAGGGACGCAAGCAGGACGAAGGAGAGAAGGGAGGCAGGAAGTAGGAGGCAGGAGGGCGGAGGGGGAAAGAGGAGAGGAAGGAGACTCGAACACAGTGCTCCATTCAAAACGAACACCCAACCAAGGAGGGGTTGGGAATAAATTTGTGTAGGGGCCTGGGGTAAGAAGGCGTGTGAGACATTTTGCTGTCCCTCTCCCCCTTTCCCCCTCCCCCAGGGTCCGAAATCGCACTTGAGCGGGGGAGCCCTTGGGGGGGCACTGGGGGTGCGAACTCGTCAACGCACCCGCAGAGCCTCCAGAGCCTCCGAATACTCATTCCGTGGCCTCCCAGAGACCGAGATGACATTGAAGCTGGCTCAAGCTAGGCTCCAACATGCCGAGGAGCCCTCAACAAGACCAAAGACGGCCCGAAGATGGGCCAAGAGGCCTCCACGCCCCAAGGGGTCACCAAGGAGACCCCGCAGAGGGCCCCAAGAAGAACATCGCCCCAACGCTTTCGTAAAGCCTACGTGTTCAGCATATTCGCCTTTTTCGTGCCAGCATCGTCCACGATGGCCCAAGAGGCCCCCAAGACCGCCAGCGAGCGCCCAAGAAACCCCCGAGAGGCCCCATCATATGCATCCAAGAGGCCAAAAGGAAGCCCCCAGAGAGGCCCCCGACGGCCCCCTGAGAAGGCCTCGCCCACGGATGTCTCTCCTCGTCTGGGGGCCGGCGGAATGGCGTAAGCCGCTTGAATCAATTCTTGCAGGGACCTGCGAAGAATGAAATTGGAAATAGGGTAGATTGCAACATCGTTCATGCGTCTTGGGCGTACATTGGTCCTCCTTCCCCTCCTCCTCCTCCTCATCCTCCTCCTCCTCCTCCTCCTCCTCCTCCTCCTCCTCCTCCTCCCCTTTTTCCTCCTCTCCTCCTCCTCCTCCCCTCCTCCTCCTCCTCTTCCTCCTCCTCCTCCTCCTCCTCCTCCTCCTCCTCCTCCTCCTCCTCCTCCTCCTCCTCCTCCTCCTCCTCCACTTCTTCCTCATGCTCTCCCCGTCCTCCTCCGCCTCCCCCGGCAGCTCACGCCGCCAATGCGGCGGCGGAAGTCTCGGGCGACCACGGTCTCTAAGATGTCGCCGGTCTTGGCGGCCAGCGCCTGCCGGGCGCGCCGCCGCAGGCGGAGAACGGCGGGAAGGAGGGTAGGTCAGGGCACTGACCTGCATGGGAGGCGGAAGGACACACACCAGCACGACAGTCAACCCGTATAATCCGCCGACCCCAGAAGGCGTATGCGGACGATCCTCGCCCCGGCACCCCCACCCCGCGAGACGTCTGTTCTTCGAACCCTCCACCCGACAATCTTGGAACCCTCCACCCGAAAACTTCTCGCACGAAACCCAGCAACGCCCCCCACCTCGCCCCGGCACCCTCTCTCCTCGAAACGTCTGTTTTCGGGTTCGAAACCCACCAGCGCTCCCCACCTCGCCCCGGCACCCCCACCCCAGGAGACGTCTGTTTTTGGGCCCCCCCCACCCGACCATGTCTCGCCCGAAACCCACCAACGCCCCCCACCTCGCCCCGGCCCCAAGAGACTTCTGTCATTGGGCCTCAGCACACGATACTTTCTCGCCCGAAACCCACCAGAGTTTCCCACCTCGCCCCCGCACCCCCACCCGAGGAAACGTCTGTTCTTGGGACCCCCGCCAGGGAATTTCTCTTTCGAAACCCACCGACGCCTCCCACCTCGCCCCGGCGCCACCACCAAGAGAACGTATGTTTTTGGACCCCCCCCAAGCAATCTCTTGCCCAAAACCCACCAACGCCCCCCACCTCGCCCCGGCACCTCCGCCCCAGGAAACGTCTGTTCTTGGGACCCCCCAAACTCCCTGAAACCCACCAACGCCCCCCGCCTCGCCCCGGCACCCCTACCCCAGGAGAAGTTTGTTTTTGGGCACTCCTCCCGACAATTTCTCACCCGAATCCCACCGACGCCCCCCACCTCGCCCCAGCACCCCCACCCCAGGACACGTTTGTCTTGGGACCCCCCCACCCGACAAGTTCTCGCCCGAAACCCACTGGCGCCCCCCACTTCGCCCCAGCACCCCCCCCCCCAGGGCACGTCTGTCTTGGGGCCCCTCCACCGGACAAGTTTTCACCCGAAAATCCACCGACGCCCCCCACCTTGCCCCTCCGGCACCCCCACCCGAGGAAACGTCTGTTCTTGGGACCCCCTATACCCTACAATTTCTCACCCGAGTCCCACCAACGCCCCGAACCTCGCCCTGGCACCCCCACCCCAGGAAACGTTTTTTGGGGGGACCCCCCGCCAAACAATCTCTCGCCCGAAACCTACCGACGCCCCCCACCCCGCCCCGGCACGCCCACCCCAGGAAACATCTGTGTTTGGGAACCCCCACCCAACAATCTCTCGCCCGAAACCCACCAACCCCTCTCACCACGCCCCGGGCACGCCCACCCCAAGAAACGTCTGTTCTTGGGACCCCGCACCCGACGATTTCTCGCTCGAAACTCACCGACGCCCACAACCTTGCCACAGTTTCTCGGGACCACCACCCAACAATGTCTTACCCGAAACCCACCAACGACCCCCACCTCGCCCCGGCACCCCCACCCCAGGAAACGTCCGTTCTTAGGACCCCCCACCCGACAATGTCTCGCCCGAAACCCACCGACACCCCCACGTCGCCCGGGCACCCCCACCCCAGGGAACTGGAGGTGTCTTGGGGCATTTTGGGCAGTGCCGGCGCCCTCTTGAGGGCCTCTGGAACAGTTTTCGGGCGAGTTTTGGTGCTTCTGGGCCTGATTCGGAGCGTCGGCGGGCTGAAAAGGCAGAAGCCAGAGAAATCTGCAAAAGCCGATGGAACATCAATGGATTTTACATCGTGCGGCCGTCTTGGAAGGCGTTCGGGAATCGTGCGGACGCGTTCTGGGAGCGTTGTATGCCGTCTCGAAGCCGTCGAGCAGCGCCTTGGGGGCGGTGTGGGCCACGTGCGGGCCCTCGCGAGCGGCTGGGAATGATTTTCCGGCGATGCGGGACCTTCTTCGGCTGCCCTGCAGGTAACGGAAAGAGCGAGGCACGAGTGATGACGTTCCAATTTGGGGCGAAGCCCTACTGGAGGGTTCCACGGGAGGGGCAAGGGCTGGGCGCAGAAGTCTAATGGCCGTTTTCGGATTTTCCCCCGGATTTTGCATGTTTTTCGGGCTCCCCCCCCCAAGATCCCCCCCAAGAGCGCTCCAAGAGAGTCCAAGACCACCCAAGATGGCCCAAGAGGCCTCCAAGACGCCCCAAGAGGCGCCCAAGAGCGTCCCAAGAGGGTCCCAAGAGGCCAAAATCATAGATTTTCGTTGGAAAACGTGCATTTTGAGCAAACGCGATGTTTCGGCCTCCACGGCGTCGACGACGGCCCAAGAGGCCCCCAAAACCGCCCCAAGACGGCCAAAGAGGCTCCCAAGAGGCCCCCAAAACGGCCCAAGAGGGCCCCAAGACGGCCCAAGAGGCGCCCAAGACGGCCCAAGAGAGACCCAAGACGGCCCCAAGATGGGGACCACGAACCGAAAAGTCTAGCCTTACGCCCCAAGACGCTCCCAGGAGGCCCCAAGAGCCCCCCAAGAAGCCCCAAGAGGCCCCCAAGAGGCGTCCCAAGAAGCCACCAGGAGGCCAAAGTCATTGATTTCCGATCGGAAAACATACATTTTTAGCATACACGGTTTTTCGGCTTTCACGGCGTTGAAGACGGCCCACGAGGCCTCCAAGACCGCCCCAAGACGGCCAAAGAGGATCCCAAGAGGCCCCCAAAACGGCCCAAGAGGGCCCCAAGACGACCCAAGAGGCGCCCAAGACGGCCCAAGAGGGCCCCAAGACGGCCCCAAGAGGAGGACCACGAACCGAAAAGTCTAGCCTTACGCCCCAAGAAGCTCCCAGGAGGCCCCAAGAACGCCCCAAGAAGCCCCAAGAGGCCCTCAAGAGGCCCCCAAGACGCCCCCAAAAGGGCTCCAAAAGGGCCCCAGCAGTACTCCCAAGAAGACCCAAAGACGCCAAATAAAGAGCGATCGGTAACACAAAAAAGCTCTTCACACCAGAGAGCGGTGACGTAACAAGTTCCTGACATCAAGGCCCAGCCAAGGCTCAGGCACGGGCGGCAACGCAACAATCTCTGAACACCAAGGCTCCCAAGAGCGAGTGGTGACGTAACAAGCTCTCAACGCCAAGGCTCCCAGTACGAACGGTGGTGTGAATAATTTCGGCTTCTGTTTCTGAAGCGCTCTTTCGGTTCCCGTGCCGGCACAGGTAACGGAAAGAGCGAGGTACGAGTGATGACGTTCAGGTGGGGCGAAGCCCTAGAGGGAGGGGTTCCAGGGGAGGGGGGAAGCGTGCGGGAATTGGCGCTAATGGCCGCCACCCCCCCCCCAAGACGGTCCCAGAGGCGCCCAGGACTGCCCAAGAGGCGCCCAAGACGGCCCAAGAGGCGCCCAATACAGCTCCAAGACGGTCCCAGAGCGCTCCGAAACGGGCCAAAGTTGTGTCCGAGATGGTCCAAGAGGCCTCCAAGACGCCCTAAGATGGCTCCAAGACGGTCCAACAGGCCCCGAAGACGCCCCAAGTGGCTTCCAAGAGGCTCCCCATGAGGCCCCGAGGATTTTTCGGGGTTGAAGGATTTTTCGCCACTTTCGCCACCCACTTTGTGGGTGGCGAACGAATGTGGGTGGCGAACGAAAGTGGGTGGCGAACGAAAGTGGGTGGCGAACGAAAGTGGGTGGCGAACGAAAGTGGGCGGCGAAAGTGGGCGGCGAAAGTGGGTGGCGAAAGTGGGCGGCGAAAGTGGGCGGCGAAAGTGGGCGGCGAAAGTGGGTGGCGAAGTTGTTTGTTGCTTATCGTGAAGAAGCCGTGCCTTGTCGTGTTTCAATGTTTTCTTGTCGTGTTTCAGTTTTCCTAGTCGTGAGAACACCCGAGCTTTGCGGGAGGAAAACTTGTCATCCCGCTCGTGCCGCCGCGTCTGCGCGGGCGCGACAACAGTCTGCGCGCGCCACGCGCCGCTGCATACCACAGGCGCACGTTTGCGCACTGAGAACACGTGGCGTGCAAACTACGAACAGCATATCTCTGCGCTTTACAATGGGCGATGCTGCGCCGGGGGTGGGCGGGGTGGCGGGGGTTATGTTATGTACTGGGTGGGTGGGTGGGTTGGAGGCCACGTAACGCGCGATATGTGCAAAGGAATAAAAACTTGAACTCAAGAGAAGAGAGGAACGGCGGGGAAGGCCGAGCAGGCCCAGTAGCGAGAAGGACAGACTCGCTGTGCAGGGATGGATCAAGCCTGAAAATTAAAGTGGCACTCCGCTCGTGCACGCGGCAATGTCACGGACGCGGCGCACTATCATCCCAATGTGCACTGCTCCGGGTACTCTTGCAGATCCGTCCCAGAAGGCTGGGACTCGCAAGGCAAAGAGTTGCATCCCGATGACAACTAAAATATAGCGGAAGAATCAATACACGTACATATATACATATATAAATAGATGTATATAAATATATACATATATATATATAAGATACCTGCCGTAAGACAGGCAAGAACCAATCCAACAGCTGCAAGAAGCCCACACGGCCCAGCCGCATGGCGGCGGCTAGCCATCTAAAGCAGCGCGAGCTAGCAGCGGTTCCCTGGCGAGAGCGGCCGACAAGACTGAGCGGCACGTCGGTGGCCTACCCCCGCGCGCACCCAGCCCGAACGCCAATTCTTCTCACTAGACGGCCACCCCGGCGCACTCCGTGCCACGACCCCGGGAGAGGAGGAGGCGAGAAGTAGGCGGAGGAGGGAAACGAGGCGGAGGGCGACTGCATGCGCTACCCGAGCCGCGGACAGGCCTGCCGGCGCAGACCAACAAATCGGCACCACGATTCGGAGGGAGGGGGGCGAGGCGGAGGGGGAGGACGGGGAGGAGGAGGAGGAGGAGGAGGAGGAGGAGGAGGAGGAGGAGGAGGAGGAGGAGGAGCAGGAGGAGGAGGAGGAGGAATAGGAGGAGGAGGAGGAGGAGGAGGAGGAGGAGGAGGAGGAGGAGGAGGAGGGAAGAGGAGGAGGAGGAGGAGGAGGCGGACGAGGAGGACGAGGAGGACGAGGAGGACGAGGACGAGGA